CTTTCAAAACTCTCGCCAAAACTCGCCAAAATTTCATTTTTAATAAAAAAACTTCTCAAACAGAAATATTTATAAAATATTTATAAAATATTTGTACTTATAAGATTTATTTTAAATATTTATTTTAAATATTTATTGTAAATATATATTTTTGTGGCTTAGATTGCACATATCATAAATATTCATTATAAATATTATAAAATATTTATTATAAATGGTATGAGATATATATTAATATTTAATAAGACATTACAATTCAAATAAAAAATACTTACTAGAAATATTTATTTATATTTATCATACAAATTTATATTTATATTTATATTTTATATTTTTATTATATTTTATATTTATCATTACATTAAATATAATACGTATAAAATATTTATATAACATTTTAAAAAATAAATAGTAATAAATATTTATCATAAATATTCTGTACTGTTTGGGATTCAAATAATTAATTTATTATTGTTTATTCTTTTTTATCAATGTAGATTAGCTTTAATCTCTTTAAATCTTTAATTTTTTATTTTCTTTTATTTTCTAAAAATTAGAAAAAGATAAAGAATATATTAAATCGAGATTAAATTAATTAATCTATATTGGTAGAAATGGATATAAAATATAATACATATAATTGGCGCTCGTACTTTCGAATCTTTGTTTAATAATCAGTAGAGTATTTAATTATTAACAGCGATGTGATGTTTTTTTGTTTATTCTCATTTGTCGTGAACTTTAAATTGTGTGCAAAACTTGGGAGCACACAAATAGCGCACGCATAGTGAGAAAGAACGTGAATGAGAAAGTGATGTCTTGCGTTGAAAAATCGTGCAACTTTTATAACATTTCAGGATCTAGAAATCTAGACTCTCGAGGCGCTCAGATACAGTTGATCGATTGCTATAATATATTTTTTATCAAGAATCTATAATCGTGAAGTTAAGTAATTTTCTCAGTTATATCGGTTCCATCTATCACAATCGCAAAAGCGAATATCAATATCATCTGCATAAAAATTCATAAAAATTTAACGGTTATTTCTCTCTTTTTTTCTCTCTCCCTCTCTTTTATTTGGTGCTGATTACAATTAATAACTGAGATTCAATTATTTTTCTCGTTTCTACCAATGTAGATTAACTGTAATATCAGCTCTCTCTCTCTCTCTCTCTCTCTCTCTCTCTCTCTCTCTCTCTCTCTCTCTCAAATTCTAGAGAGAGGAAAAGATGAAGAGTAAGTTGAATCGAGATTAAAATTAAATTACATTATATTACAATATAGAAACGGGCATTAGCCTTCCCAGGATTCGCACGAAGAGAAACAGAAGATAAACAGAAGGACGGGTCGCAAGTGAAGTCTCTATCAGATTAGAAACATAGGAGATTGAGGATTGCGAATTAAATATGAAAATTTGAATAATCAGATAATTTTAATTTTTAATCCGTTTCGTTCCGATTGAGATTTCACAATTCTCAATCTCCAATACATAGTCTGATACGGGTTTTAAAGGGACGACGAGGTCGATCCACTTTGCGATCCTCTTACATGCGACATAAGAGGACGGAGAATGGATTCATCGTTGCGGAGAACTTTCTCCCGGACGGGCGCTCCAACACTCGTATACGTGACTCTTGTGTCTGGCCACGTAACTTTCGAAACGACAGGACAGGTCTCTCGCAGATTGCCAGTGCATTCCTTTCAACGATGCACATGGGATTGATCCTTGCGCCGCGATCTCGAGGACTCTTGCATGTAATCCGTAAAAGTACATCCGCGCATCCCGTTAAAATTACGAGGAAGTTGCGTAGAGACGATATCTCGTTATAGAATATGCGCAGCGTTATACCTTTATCACACGGAAGAACGGTTTTGCTAAAGTAAAAAATGTAACTATTATATATATATATATATATAATTTATAAAATTGAAAAATATATTTAAATAATTTATGTCACTTATTTATCAGTCTATTTTTTCACTTATATTATTGTTTAGCTAGATACAGATCTGAAAATAATTATACAGCATGATAATAATGCTGCAAGAAGGTTTGACAATCTAGCAACTAGCTGTTTGGACGTCCTATTACTTTAATGGTCTAATACTCGATCCAATATAGAATTATTTTCAAATCTGTCTCTATAAATTTTCTATGATATTCAGCAAAACCGATCTTTTCGTGAGGCACTTTCACTTTCAGAGTAAGAAATAAGCATTAAAGCAAGAAAAATATTCCAAATTCATGTAATATTTAGATATATATGTTTATTTGTCTCCTCCTTCTGTTAATAGATCTCAGATATCTTTCTTGTACGATCATTTATTTAGTCGGTAAGGACAAACAAATTCTATTTTTCGTAATAAATTTGCAAATTTAAGATTCTCGTTAACATTTGATTATTAATATTCTTATAAAGATGCTTATTAGCATCAAAAATTATTAAATTACTTATCAATTCGCTCACTTTTGTAATTTTCACCTCAAGATACAGAATCGATTCCCTATTGTCATGTTTACTACTACCATTAAATGTGTACCTTAAGTGAGGTTCTCGATTAAAGTAAACGAAAGTAAAAATATAACGCGTACGTACACGCGTTAACGAATCAAATCAATTTTAGGTATTATACGACAAGTGCGACGACTTGATCCGGCTTCCCGCAAGGACGTTCTCGTAAACAGAGAGAGAGGAAGGGATCGCGGGCTTTCGCAAGGAGGCCGTAGATTCCACGAGGAAGCAAGGCCTCTTCCCGGGAAGCGCGCGGCGTCGGATCGTCGGATGCCGAGGAAGCCGCTCTCGCGCCGAAGAGGCGAGAAAGAAGGGACGATCGAGAGAGAGCGAGCGAGAGCAATGAGTGGTCGCTGACCCGGTCGGAACGTTGACTCCATGTAGTCAGTCTCCTCCCTCCCTTTCCCCGTCATCCTCCTTTACATTTTCCCCTGGGTTTTGCCGTGTAGCCGTACCTTCGATTACGCGGAGTTACCTTACCTTCCCCGTTCGCTTCGCTACACCTCGCCTCATCTCGTCGCGCATCGCCTATGAGTTTGCCCGACGATGGCGTATCTCATCGTCGCGTTCCCGAGGAATTTCCGATCTCCTCCTTTCCCACCCTTCCCCCCTTCTATGGATCTTCCTACACGTCAAGTTTTTCCTTCTTCAACTTTTCCGTTGGATATCAGTAGGTATCTTTACTTTCCGTTTTACCTCCTAATGCGCCGATCGCCGTTACTCGGAGCATCCCGCTGACTTCGCCCATTCATTTTTCCTTGTCCATCGTATTTCCAGTTTTATGTCAACGGAGAGAGAGCGAGGTGTTCCTTCCTTGCGACTGGTTGAAAAATGCAAAACTGTCATTGTCAATTTCGAAGATCCACGACACGTCAACGTCGACAAATGTTTTGAAATGAGATTTGAATAAAGCATCCTTGACATTTTTATGACATATAGTATTTATTTTCTTTATAAACATATTTCGTAATGTATATTTAATGACGCATGGATATTTTAATACGTATAACTTAATACGTATAACAGTAATCTCTCTCTCTCTCTCTCTCTCTCTCTCTCTCTCTCTCTCTCTTTCTCTCTCTCTCTCGAATACATATCTATATGTATGTAGTTTTGTGGCCATAAGTACAAACACCTCCTATAAATTGAAATGTTCTACATTTAATAAAAACTAAAATAAAAGAGTTTTATTGAAAAATAATATTTGTTTTTGTAACAGTCTTAATATTTGATTAGTTATTTCCTTTCATATTTAATATTCTTTTTCAAGAAAATGTAATAATAAATTGAGGGTGATTTATACTTAATGTGACAATTGCACATATTTTCGAATCTAAAGCGAGATAACTTTTTATTAAGCGAAAAAAAGAGAGAATATATATATAGAGAGAGAGAGAGATGTAAAGATAAATGTAATAATAGAAAATTATTTTAAATAGATAATACAATTAACAAAAATTTATTAATTAACGGGCGATTGAGAGAAACAACAAACGCAGCAATTCGTGTGTAATAATTAACAAAATCTTACATAAATTATATATAAATCGAACATTTCGGCTCCATTCAAGTCATCAGCGATGTCCAAAAAAAAATAATGTTTTCATTAATGTAATGATAATTAAATATTACAAACTATAACTTGTGCTGTGGTTTTTCATGCTCATCTTTTCATACGTTTCAAAAAAAATAAATTCATAAATTAGTTCAGAGAATACTGCAAAAGATTCAGTCTAAGAGTGCAACCGGAAGAATCTCTCCCATTCCCATGCTTGAAAAGTGCAACCGTCATTTAGGTATTTGAACAATAAGTGAGTGCTAAAGAATAAAATAGTGAATAAATAAAATACGGAAAGACAACCCATTCAAAATCTTTTCAAAAAACTCAAATTATGACTGTATATTTCAAAAATACAATATTTCGGAAATATAGATCACAGAACTCACTAAGATAACTAAATCGAATTAAGTATGTAATACAGTATGTAAATAGCAGTTGAAGCACAAATATAATGTGTACAATTATTTATATTTGAAATTATCTTATTTGAAATTATGAGCTTTAATAAAGAAGGTGAATCATTTTAAGGAATATATAAAATTTCTGACAACTCTCAAATCAAAATTAATTTTTTAATTAATATTACGTTTAAAATACAAACTCAAAGTTGAATTTTTCCGCTATCCACACTTTTCATTATAGAGAAAATTCATTCAACTACTGCATTACTTCATGAAAGCGATAATACACATTCTATGATTTTACAATTAGACAAAATTTATAAACAATATTAAACAAAGAACTTTTTATGATCATAAATGTAAACACACAAATGTAATGAATAAATGCCTTAAACGGTTAAAATTTATAAAATATTTTTCAGTGGCATCTTTTGTTTACTTTTTATTAATATGAAAATAAATATTTGATGTCTTTGGCGAAACAGTTAGACAAACACGCCGAAATCGAAACATCTGATCACATTATTTATACTTATCAAGACTATACAAATACATAAATGGTATGTAAAATGAGATTTATAAGGCGGCAACAGCAAATTCCAAGTCTTTAACTCAATATACAGCGTTTGGTATCCGCACGTATTCGTAGTTGCTATAGAAATCTACGTAAATTCAAGAAAAACGACGCAACTTCGCAAGGATAATTGCGTTTCGAAGCATCTGTAGTGCGATGTACAAGTACCGTTAGAATCGTTATCGTTCCCGCATCGAGAGTCTGGGATTCGAGTCCTACTTACTAACGGTACCCATTTATTCCAAGTGGAGGGATCCCTCTTCCCCTTCCCAACAATCCACGAATCGTTTTTAGCGTGGAAGATCCTCCGGTTTATGACTGTTTCACGATAGTCGCTTAAAGTTGCTGATGATCGGACGAACAAGAGGTGTCGCTTTTTCTCATCGACGATAACAAGAACGCCGACATTGACTTCTTTCATCGCATTCCTCTATTGTCATGCAGAAGCTATATGAATTAGTAGCTAATTTAGAAAATTTTAGAAAATTATGACCTATTTATCCGAACGTATGAAAAAAAGATTGCAAAAAGAAAAAAATCCTTGGTATAAAAAGTTCAGAGGATCGACTGTGTATTTTAAAACAAGATGAAAATTATAAAAGTCAACAAATTCACGATAGATGTTGACCAATGAAATGTTAAATATTGCAATTAATTTGTTCAATTTCATAATTTTCACCTCATTTTAAGATATATACATGCAATCTCCAGTACAAATAAAATTTAATGTAATAAATAGAAATTTATTAAGAGGTAACTTAAGAGATCTTTTTCAATATTAAATGTAAACATTCAAAATTTTTCTTAAAAATATTTTCCTGTTAATTAATTTATATCGCTAAACGGTAAAGGACTTTTATGTTTATTTCGATCCCATCTACCTTCCTGTAGGCGGTTAGAAAAGTCTCGCGGGACACCCTGTATATGTATGAATTATATACCTATGAACTATGTACCGACACTTACATAAAATTTACAGATGTATATTTTGAATCACAAACTATCTTTTGCTATATAATTTAAATTATATAGTTTATGATTCAAAATATCTGTGCATATTAATTCTCTGATTTAATTTATTAAAATACGAATTTTCTTATATAATTAAGTTGTAATTTTCTTATATTTTATAGTTATAATTAATGTATAATTGAACTGATGTTAACTCTTAAATGACAACATTAAAGAGCATGCGCAGTTGTAAAATAACATTAAATTATCATTTCCCAACTTACCGTCATCAAAAAACTTTGAAATTAAATAATAAGAAAACAAAACTTAAATGATGATTTTCTTTCTCAGAATATATTCTACGCATGAAAATATACAAATTACAGGAAAATCGAAGGAAGCGTTATACTGCACATTTGGCATTTCGGTTTTGGCCTAAATTAAGAGAAAATTATTTCGATAAGTTATTATAAACCAAAACTGCACGTACACATTGCAACGCGTCGGCGAGAATTCGAAAAACTATGTTATCATCGGCTGATTAGCGCCGATTGATGCAAGATAGATAGATAAATCAATTTATTGGCTCACAGTTAGAATACAGCCATTATTACATACATTCGCAGTCTTGCAGCTACCAATAGATGGCGTTGAAATGACAATATAACTGGACGTAACACAACTTATGATGTCTTTACGCTCAAAAATAAAACTACTTAAACCTAATATAGAATCGATAATCAAAGCTATAGAATGTAATAACACTATAGAATGAAAATACGTTTGAAAGATCTTTTTAACTTAAAAAAAGAAAAGAAAAAACTTATATATCGATCTTGCATTCATTAAAGAATTCAGTTATAATCTCAATTTCAATCGTTTTAATTTTTTTTTTTTTTTTGAATTTCTTTAATGTCAATCGGAGCTTTTATATCAACTTATTAAACTTGTCTAACATATTCTTTTTTTCTTTGAATGTATAAACTCACGATTGCTACAAACCGTGTCGGCGCTATCTCTTTAAAGGGAAGAGAACGATAAAAAATTATCGAAATTGAAATCTTAAGACAAATTTTTGTCGTTCTCGGAATAAATTCCACAGATACGTATTAATGTATATACTTTAATTCTGGAAAAGGATTTTTGAATCTGTAAAAGAGGAAAAAAATAAGTCCTTGCAAAGTAGCATGTAATTTCGTTTTAGGAGAAATATTTTTTTCTACGCTTTGAATCCACTTAATTCCTTACCCTCCACTTAGTATTGCTCGTCCAAGCAATTTGAATTCCGCTTCATGCTTATTTTCAATCTACAAGTTTTAAAATTTTTATATCAAGCAAATGCGTTAACCGCATATGACAATTATATGTACGTGCCAGAAAAAGTGAATTTTTTAATTTTTTTCCGATTTTCTCGTGAAATCATATTTTTCGGGGTTTCTTTTTACGTGTTCTCTAATTTTGTAAAAAAAATTCTACAATTCGTGAAGCCAATTCGAAGATTTCTCCTAAAACATAATCATGATAAAGCAGGATGACTTTAGGATCCCCTTAAGGGATTTTTGTATAACAAATACTTTTTTTTCTTTCACACAAATTCGAAAATTCTTTTCCAGAATTATACGCATTAATACGTATTTGTAAGGTAAAGTTTATGTCGAAAAAGACCAAAAATTTCAAAATTGATATATTTTTTACTATTTCTTAGTGTAACATAGCAGCATCTCAAGCTATCAAGTCGAGACATTTGCTTGATACGAAAGTTTTGCAACCTGTATTTACGAAATAATAATTAACACAAACACGAATAGTTTGCACAAATAAATAACGTCCTTAGAGTTCTTAGAATTAGACTTAGACGCTTCATCGCAATGAATTTGTTATACGGAAATTGACACGAAGGTGCGACTGCGAGTATCATAGATTACGTGAGATAGTGGTGTGGTAGGACAAAAACATGTCGGTGTACTGGAAAAACAGCGACCTCTGATGACTTCGTTGGAGTTTGGACTTCGTTTTAGGATCCACCGTTTGTATTACCGACATTTCCACTCGGTGAAAAATCTCTGAATTGGATTTACGGATTACAAAATTGTTATTACATAATTAAAGCACAAATAGGACCTCAGCTGTACTAGATTTCATGAGAAAATCGAAAAAAAGTTAAAAAATTCACTTTTGGCTCGCTGTTACCTCAGATATATATTTGATATAATATAAGTTCTAGAGTTCATATCTTAAAAATAAGTGCGCAGCTAAAGTTCACATTACTGGAACGAATGATACCGAGTTTGTAGAACTAAGATTGAAAATCTAGAAGAAAAGTTTTTTCACAAAAGTATTTTCAGTGGAAAATATATGTATACGGATGCTTTGTAAAGACTGAAAATGTCAACAGAGCTGAAATTGAAATCCCTTGATTCTCTGACTATCTCATTTTCTTTCTATTC